AGGGCTGCAGCGCCGTACTGCTGGGGCCGCCAAGAGTCCGGTTCATCTGGGGTCAGGTGTTGCTGCTGCATCAGCCGGAGCGGATCTGGTGGGAAGGGAGCCGTGCCGGGAAGCAGCCCCATTGCTCCCAGGGTCTGGAATGTTACCAGAAGACCAGGACTTGCCTGTACTCACAGAAGAGTCTGTGCTGGATCCTGAGCATCTCTCTGTGGGTGCCCAGCCCACCCAAAGCTCTCCTGTGCGCGGGCTTGGGAGATGGCCCAGCCTGTGAAGCGGCCCGTTCGGAGCACGCCTCGTGCTCCAGCTGGCTGAACCTGGGGAGTAAAACCTGTGCCTTAACCTCCCGCCATCTGGCGTGGCTGAGCGGGCCCCTTGCTTCTCTGACGTCCAACGCAGCCTGCAGGAGAGCTGTGCTGGCCCGCGCCGGGAGGTGGAGTGTGGCCTGCCCAGGCACTTGCGGCAAGTGCTGCACCCAAGGTACCGCGCAGCCCGGCAGCTGCTGGCTTTGCTTTGTGTTTACTTTAAAATGTTTTAAGGAGATTTTAAGATGGCAAAACTTTAGCTGAGTGGAACTCTTGCAGCCAGTGACATTTCATACTGATATTTATACGATGTTTCCTTGAATGTATGTAAAGTACTTTTATAATAGGAGGTTGATGGTACATTTCTGTGTTTATGTTTAATAAAGGTTGACCCGGCTATTTTATTTTTTCCTCCGCTGGCTGAATTTAAGACTTCCCCTGTCTCTTGTGTGGCAGGAACAGCATCTCTATTCACGTGTTGATTTTCCTCTGTCTCTGCTCTCCCATCACCCCTGACCCGGCTGTAGCTGAGCTGGTGACAAACCCCAGTGCCTGAAGGACAGCCAGCCTGCGGGCCTGGGGCGCTGAGGCCAAGCCCTGCTCGGTGCTGCTGGCCGCCTCTCTAGCTTCACCACGGCCACGGAGGCTTTAAAAAAAGAGAGAGAATACGCTAATATCTGCTGCCTCCGAGAGCCCTGGGGGTGACGTCCGTGCTGGTGCTCATGGAAATTTTTTGGACCCCCCCCCGAGCCCGCAGCAGCCCTTGCTGTGCTACCGCCCCCTCGGCAGTGAGAGAGGGCTGAGCCGCGGGGGCTGCCCGGTCACGGTCTGTGTGATGGGATCTGTCCTCTGAACTGGAAAAAAAAATAAAGTCTTTATTTTCTATAGCCACAGCTTCAGCCTGTTCTCTGACACCCCTGCAGCCGCCCCTGTCCCCTGCGACGGCCTGGGCTGGGGTTGATGGCACTAATGGGGGTCAGGGGGATGGTACTGCAGGTCCCAGTGCAGACGCTGGCACGAGCAGCCACCGGAGATCCTGGTCCCCTGGGGCATCCTGTGAGAGCCAGCGGTGGAGGGACCGGCTCCTGGGCTCTGCTGTGGTGCCCAGGGGAGGCACACGGGGCGTGGATAGTCCCGCACAAACCGTCCCTTTTTCTTTCGCACAAGGCCAACAAACGCCCCTCCCAGCCTCTGCTGTGCTGCCCTGTCCTTGGCCACCGGCTTATCGTGTGCCCGGGGAAGTTTTTAACAACTGCCCAAGGAGCGTTTCAGCCACTGCTCCAGCTGCGTCCTGCTGCCTCCCCTGCCCTGGCACCGGGTGGGGTCCCCTCCTGGGACAGGGTCCTGCCGGGAGGGTGGGTGACAGAGACGGGGAGAAAGGGCCCGGGGCAAACCCTGTGGGCAGCCAGGACAGGCCATGGCTGCTGCGGGCAACAGCACCAAGGGCCGGGGGCTGTGACGGGCCCTGCTCAGGTTCTGACACGGAGCAGGGGCAGCCCGGCCAGGGAGCAGCAGGTGTCCGTGCCCAGGAGCCAACACTCACCACACCAACGGCCACCAACAGCTGAGAAACTGGTTGTGGCCAACACCAGCCCGGGCACCCCCCAGGGTGTGGCGCTGGGAGCACCAAAGGGACCAGGAGGTGTCCATCACAAGCCAGAAGCGCTGAGCCGCGCTGCGGCTGCACGCGGGGACACAGCCACTGCCCCCACCCCAGGAGGACACGGGCCCATGGCCCTGCTGCAGACCCTTTTTTTTTGTCGGGGGCAGCAGCCATGGGGTGACCCGGCCAGTGCCGCTCCCGGAGCCCAGCTTCAAGCACGAAGCAGCAGCTTCATCCCTCTCTCCACCTGCAGCAGGGAGGGAAAGGCAGGGGGGGACCTGGCCAACAAGGCAAAGGGCAGAACCAACATTTCTGTCCACGGAGAATCCACACTGGAACGCACCTCCCCATTGGTTTCCGAAGGGGCACAGCCCCATGCACCCCGACCCTGCACCATCCCGCAACACCCTCCCCAGGGTGCGGGCACCCCACCGCCCAGCGCAGCTGCTCTCCCAGCGCAGGGGAGTCCCTGCCGCCTTCTCCGTCCCTCCCTGAACATAGCGATAACAGGCAGTCTTTGACCTTAACAGGAGGAGGAGGAAAATCCTGGCTGGAAACCAAAAGATCAGCTGCTGCCAAGGAGGGAACAAGCTCTCCCCTACACTAGCACCCACCTCCCGGAGCAGCAACAGGTGCAGCAGGCACAGGCAGCCCAGCGCAGGGGAGTCCCTGCCGCCTTCTCCGTCCCTCCCTGAACATAGCGATAACAGGCAGTCTTTGACCTTAACAGGAGGAGGAGGAAAATCCTGGCTGGAAACCAAAAGATCAGCTGCTGCCAAGGAGGGAACAAGCTCTCCCCTACACTAGCACCCACCTCCCGGAGCAGCAACAGGTGCAGCAGGCACAGGCAGGCACAGCCAGAGAGAACAAACCATTGGGTTGTTTTTTTTTTTGTTTTGCTGGTTGTGTTTTGGTTTGGTTTTTTTTATGGAAAAAGCTAATAATAAATAACCAGAAAAGCGTGCAACCCCAGTGCCCGGGACACCCCCCATGAACACCGCAGCTCTCCCCGTGGGCACAGCCATGGCAGCTGTGCTGTGTACCGTGGGACCTGCTGGGTGCTTACATGTCGCCCCAGTTTCTGCCAGGTCCCTCCAGCTGCCCAAAACAACAGCCTGGTGGGGCAGAACTGTGAGCAGGACTAACAAATCTTTCTCCCCAGCAACTCAGTTTGGAGGAGCCAGCCTCAGACAGCAGACTCAACAGTGGCAGCCCCATTCAGGACATGCTGCCCCGCTGGCCAGGAGATGGGGAACTGGGTCTGGGCCAGCCACTGCATCCGCCTGTTCACAAGGGCTGGCACTGGGAATGAGCGAAACTCCAGCCTGTCGCTCCCCTCGTTGGCATCCACCTCGTCGTAGCCGCCGTCTCGCTGTGCCCGCACGTTGGGGTTCAGCCACTTGTAGTAGGTGACTCTCAGCGCCAGCCCCAGCAGGTAGCAGGGCAGGGCAGCGGAGACCACTGGGACGAGGTACGAGTGTTCGTCCGAGGGGGACCGGCACCAGACCCAGGACAGGGCCAGCAGCGTGCTGTCCACCAGGATGAAGCCGTGATAGATGATGCTGCGGTACAGCGTCCTCCCCTGTGCCACGTTGAACCAGCTGAAGTAGAGGATCACGGCCACCACGGCCCGGTAGAGCTGCTCGGGGCCGGGTGACTCCATGAAGTCTGTGCCCTGCAGGCTGACCCAGAGGAACATCGCCAGCCACACGAGCGGGAAGTGGATGGCCACGCCGTAGGGCCAGAGCAGGGCAAAGAGGGCAACCGTGAGGATGCGGGGGCAGATGAGGAAGAGGTTCCACAGGAAGTAGACGACGGAGGAGCCCAGGCTCAGCTCGTACTTGTCCTGCAAGAAGGAGCGCAGCGACTGGTGGTAGTCCAGCAGAGACCAGGTCACACACAGGAACGCAGTGCAGATCCCCAGTCCTGCAAACACAATGGTGGAGATGCTGAGGGCAGATCGAGGGGGGCCCAGCCCGGCTCAAGCTTCCCCCGCCTGGCATTGCTAAAACGAGCTTCCACCAGCTCGCAAAGCGGCTGCTGCAGAGGGTCGGAGCCTCGGCACCCATGTCGCTCCCCTGGCCTTCCACCCTTCCTGAGGAGGAGGAGGCTGCTGCCTGGCCTTGCCCAGGAGATGGGGAAGAAGCGACAGGACCGAGCGGCTCTGTGGAGCCTGTCTCCCAGCCAGGGTGGCACCCAGCCCACACGGGCAGGAGGTGAGCGCTGGCTCCACCCAGCCAGCGCACGGTTGGGCTCCTCATTTCACTGCAGTGGCAGGTGCTCCCCGCCCCAGGAGAGGCACCGAAGCTTCCCTCGGTGGCCTGTGCTCCACCCTCCGTCCACGTCTACAGCAGTATCTCCCCACCCCACAGCACGCTCCTGATTTCTCTCCTGACCCTCAGCCTCTCCTGGAGCACGCAGGGGAAAGACCACAGTGGTCCCCCAGCTTTAACCCACCCACCCCAAGCCCAGCATAGTCCATGGGGGCACGTGAGCGCAGGACAGGGGTGCACCCTCCTGGTCACGTCAAGGGAAGGAGTGATGTGGGAGAAGAATGACGCCTCAAGCAAGGGCAGACGGCCCGTATCCTGATGGGTCCTGCAGCCCCTGGACAGTCCATCTGGTCTCTCCCATCCAGGCCCGCTCTGACCTCAATCCTGTCCCCCACAGCCCCCTCCCCCGGCCCCAGACCACTCACCCTGGGAGGGTTCTGCCTTGTTTGTCCGCAGGATAACGTAGAGGAGCAAGGTGAGCTGCGGAGTGTTCTCCAGGAAGGTCTCAAACAGGCGGAGCATGCTGATGTCGTGGGAGAGGAAGGCCATGTGGCTCTGCTCCTCCTCCTCCTCTGCCTTCGCCCAGCACACCTTCCAGCCCACCTTCAGAGCATGGAGGCACCTGCGTGGGGTCAGTGGTGAGAGGCTGCGGCGTGGCAGCGCAGCGCGCCCCTCCGTCCTCACGCCGCCCTGGCGGGACAACTTGAAATGCCCCGATCTGTGCTCAAACCACACCCGCCCCCTTCCCCAGCCGAGCACCACGGGGCCCACACGGTGCCACACGACGCCCACACGGCGCCC